AAACATCACCCAGCGCCTTCCAGAGCTGGCATTTGTCAGGGGCGGGGAATATGAGAGGTGAGGTCGGCGAGAACAGACACTTAAAAAGACAAACAGCGCAGACAGCCGCCCGAATCGCGGCTGGTTTTCTTTTCTTCTTCCTTTTTTTAGGTCCCGGCAGCCTTTAGCCCCGCCCATGACCAGTTGGCGTGTCCCTTTGTGAAGTGACCAGCAGACAGGCTTCATACTTGCCAGGGCCCAGTGCAAAATGAAAATGTGGCTGTTTCCCATGGGCCTGTGAATGGGCGACCCCCAAGAGATTGTCACCTCCGCACTCTGGGCCCAGAGATCAGGGGGTCCAGAGGCCCCTGCTGAGTCACCAGCACATGTGTCAGGGTCCTGCTGCCTGTCGAGGCCTGGGAGGGTGGCACCAACCCCGCCTCTCCCTGCCCCGGTGCCTGGACCCCCACCACACGTCCCTGTCACCATCTCAGGGGTAGGATGACTGACAGTGATGGGGCCAGGCTCCAGGAAGCAGGTGCCTAAAAGCCCCTTCTGGGGAGGTGGTAGAAGGCAGGTCCACTGAGGCCCCAGGTCCCCAGTGTGTGCTCCATTGCCCCATCAGACTTCACTTACAAAACACAAAGTCAGAGGTAAAAATACTAAGAAGTGTAGATGGCAGCTGCAGAACCTTGAACCCCAAGCAGGTTCAGTGTGCAGAGCCCGTTGGGGCACAGGGGCCTGGTGGCTGCAGATTCCCAGGAGAGAAGGTTATTGGCTCGGTTGGAGACCAGGTGGGGCGGGGGCAGGAGCAGGCCAGTCCGCTAAGCGGGAGGTTGCAGGTGTAGTCAAGGCTTTGAGCGTGCGCGACGGGGCAGGGCAGGCTCCCCTGGGCAGGCGGCGGGGCTGTGCTGGGCTGACCCAAAAAGTCCTCTGGTCGCCTGTGCTCCTAGCCTCAGCTTATTCAACTGTCAAATAACAGAATCTGCAAACTCCCAGCAGTCTGAGCATTTTCAAGATGTGTTTGGTCGGTCCGGGCGTGGCTCAGCGGTTGAGCATTGACCTAGGATCCAGGCGATCGGGGTTCGATTCCCAGTCAGGGCACATGCCCGGATTGCGGGCTCGATCAATGACTCTCTCATCATTGATGTTTCTAT